GAGTGTTGGCCCCATCTAGACTTATCTTCTGAGCTCCAGAACCAGATATCCAACTTACTGATGCCTAGAACTGCCTCAGACATCACTTGTTAAACAGTAAATTTATTTAATTTACCTAGCTTACTTTCCTCTTTGAAAGCTACAACTAATCTTTCTTTTTTTCTAAATCAGATCCTGAGAGGATCACAGTCTTCTTTCATCACCCCAATACTGATTCAATCCCCAAGTAATAGATTTTCATGAATGTCCTGCACACACATCCCTCCTCTGTTCTAGCTGCCTTGCTTTACTCATTAGTCCATCGCTTTCCTCCTGGATTCCCACAATATCCTGCCAGCTACTATCTGTACCTTCAATCTGACCCTTTCTTAATTAATTTTTCAACCTATGTCCAACATAACTTATTGAAACTGTAGATCATCTGGTGTCATTTCCTGCTTTCAAGACCCAGTGGGGCATAGCAGTTCTCAGGGTATGGTGCAGCCATGGAAACACCAGACTCTGCCTGCACTGTCCCTTTCTTGTCTCTCTGGTGTAATGGTTCATCATGCACAATGTCTCTGTACACCACACCTCACTACCTATGTGGAATTCCTGAGATTTATCAATTGCATACTTTACAGATATTAATTTCCTGCCTGAAACACACTTTTGTGTATGCCCCTAACTTCTTTTCACCTAGTCTGCCAAATCAGCCCTCATAATTTTTCAGCACATGGCTCAAGTACCACTTACTTTAAGGAATATTTCCTGATTTCTATGCATGTGTCCGGGTGCCTCACCCATATGTACCTGCAGCACCTTGGAAACCCCTTTCTCATCACATCTATCTCCAGGTACTGCAGTCCAGCTTGGGTGTCACCTCTGCTTACTTATAAACTCCCAAGAGGTTTATGTAGTTGGCAGAATGATGCCCCACAGATTGCTGTAATCCCTGAAATCTATAAATATATCACAGGGCAAAGGTGACCTTGTAGAGGTGGATAAGGTAAGAATCTTAAAATGAAGAAATTATCCTGGATTATCCTGAGGGGTCCAAAGTAGAGGAAAAAGTCAGCATGCCAGGGGAAGGTGTAACTATGCAGGAATCATGAGAGGGATGTAATATTGCTGGTTTTGAAGATGGAAAATGGATCATAAGCCAAGGAGTGCAAGCAGCCTCTGGGAGCTGGGAAAGAGAGGAAGCAGATTCTCCACTAGAGTCTCCAGAGAAAATGTAACCCCGCCTACACCTTGACTTTAGCCCAGTGAGAACTTGTCAGACTTCAGGTACCCAGAACTAGAGGATAATGGACTTTCATTGTGGCAGGCCACTATGCTTATGGCAACAATAGGAAACAAACACAATCCATGTCTCTTTCACTGCATATCCTAGTACTTAACACAAGTCTGATGTATAAATATTAAACATATATCTGTTCTAGATGACTGGAGGAGTACACAGAGGAATAAATGAAAATGAAATGAAGTCTTATAAACAAGTTCCAAGTTGGGGAGAATAAAGCCTTAACCTCCCTGGACAGGTAACCATATGTTACCTTGACCAGCCTCAAGAATCTATTTGTTGTATCCAATTACCCTGACCACTTTGAATCCTGTAGGAGTGACAGTCTGGCAGCCCTTTCTGCAGGCTTTGGGTAGAAATCAGCTTGTTATTGGCTAAATGATGTCTCCAGATCAGTGTCCCCAGCCCTTGTTTCACATAAAACTGTCACAAGTCAATAGAATACACAACTTTTGGGATGGATAGATAGATAGATAGATAAATAGGTAGATAGACAGACAGACAGACAGACAGACAGACAGACAGACAGACAGACAGACAGACAGACAGATAGATAGATAGATAGATAGATAGATAGATAGATAGATAGATAGATAGATAGATAGATAGATAGATAAATTTTCTATGTGCAAATCCACATATTAAAAGTGAGGAAGGGAGGGCCTCCCCGGTGGCGCAGTGGTTGAGCGCTGGGTTGCGAAGCTGCCAGCAGCCTCTGCAGCGCTGGTTCAATCCCTGGTCACCGCCGAGGGTCCCACATGGCTCGCAGAACTTTCCTGCCGTGCCCGCTGCTCCCCTCAGCAGTGTACTTCACCAGTCTGCCTGTTCTGCTCTCTGCTCTGACTCTGGTGAATTCTTTCGCCCTCCCACGCTTCTGACTGTACCCAGTTCTTGTATAAATAAATAAATAAATCTTTAAAAAAAAAAGTGAGGAAGGGAGTAGGCCTCCAATGTAGCCCTTACTGCATGTTCCTGGGACTTCCCTCTCTCAGGGTTCAATGGCATAAGCACAGGCAGGCTGCTTTGCTTGCTTTGGAAAGGTGTGGTATTTGGAATGACTGCATGAGAAAAATCTCAATTTGCATCTTTACTAGATCAGATGAGTTTTATTTTTTATATTAGCACAATTCAGAGAATCTAGAGAACCAAATGTCTGCATTTTGCTTTGCTATTACCCACATTATGCATTTTGACTGCAAAGCCTGGTGCCCTGATGGCAAGGATTAAAGTCTCTACTTTGCTTGGGGAGGCTTTGATATTTTCTCACAGGAATTTTGTTACTATATTTCCAATTTGGCCTTATCTTAGCTGTCCTATGATGAGAAATAAGATCTCAGGTCTGGGGAGTAGGGATCCGTTGCTACTTTTACTTGTGAGCGGCCTTCTGGAGAGCTGTGCAGTGAGCATCTCTTCTTCAAAGAAGGGTGCAGAGAAATTGGTCATTTCAGAATTCTTTGTTATCAAAGTTATTGCTGTAATTAAGGACAAGGCTCTTACTGAAGACTGTGGAGATGGGTAACTAGCAGCTTGTGGGGAAACAGGATGGAATCACATGCTGTGTGATTTTTGGGTCAAATTCACAGGCAGTTTCTGCTAAGGGTCAAGTTCACAGGCAGTTTCATGTAGCACCCCCATGGTGTCCAACAGCCACGCCTGAGCACCCTGCCCTCCAGAGCACCTCATCTTCGCAGGAAGGTGATCAGGACCTGAGCCATGGGAACATCACACACCTGGCAAGGTGAAGTTACAGCCACATGATGGCGGCTAAGCCTAAGTGCTATATGAGGAGAGGGAGCACCCATGGCCCAGATGTGCACCCTGAATATGTCTCAGATGGGCACTGGGAAGACCTAATCCACTACTCTATGACTGCCTATGGCTCCTCTCATTGAGAGCCTTTCCTTTTCCTTTGGAAACCTCCACAAAGGCGTTTGAAACTGTATGCAGCAGAGACTATGTGGACTCAGGCATCAGAGAGTTGTGTGTTGCTTTGAGAAACAGCAACACACTCATTTGGGGAATTTCCTCCATGCAGCTTGGAGGAAAAGTTTTGCAGGAGGTAAAAGAGGTCTTTAGAGAGGGGAGTGAAACCCAGTAGAGGGAAAAGACTTGAAGGCAAGTCCTGGGTGATTTCCTGTGCCTCTCAGGGATGACGAATTTTAAATAATGTTGGTGCCAACATTTACTTTTTATTATTACCTGTTTTGCATGTGGTCTAACCCACTGCTATTACTCCCAAACTTGATCACACATTTTTGCACTGTGTTTGCCCTGCTTTGAGAGATATTTATCACTGGGCTTATCACTTCAGGCATTGGGGTTCAACCCCACTGGGACCCTGGCAACAGCGTGGGGCATGTCTTAGGCTGTTTCTCTTCTCCCTACTATCCCAGCCTAGGAAATTTTCTTGGAGTTGTTAACTCCCCTGAAAACTTCTAGACCACCCTGAGCCCCACTCTGGAGGAAGACCCAAGATGGTGAAACACAAGTGCTGGCTGTCTCATAGCCATGGGAGTGTGAGGGTGGGTGAGGACATCCCCTCCCTACACAGGAAATACACTTTGTGGTGAGATGGAAGGAAGGAAATGCAAAGAGAAAGGTAAGACAAAGAAGAATGGGTGTGCAGATTAGACCAGGGTGCCAATCAGGCCATCTCAGGCCTACGCATGCTAAGAACAGTCTATGAATGCTGACAACAGATGTTTCACCACGGCAATTCATGTAGGGTCAGTGAGTCCCCACCCAGCACTAAGTCCCCACTGCGACAAGTCACAGATATGGACCCCACACCACTTTTCCTATTTAGAAAAGCTACTGGGAAAGGAAAGTCCCCCATCCCCCCACCAACCACTCCCAACAGATACTCTAAAACATCATGGAAACAGGGTATTTTAACATTTATTTTCTTTTTTTTTGACCATTTTTTGACAGAGTTTAAAAAAAAGGGAAAGAATGTAAATGAGAGGCACTTGTGTGCCTGAGTGTGTTTCCAGAAAGACCTAGCTGGGGGAATTATCATGCCATCCTCCCAGCACAAGTTCAGAAGTTGCCTCTGAGTTCTGCCCTTGGCTCCTCGGCCCTCTGTCAGTGGCTTTCTCTGAATTATAATAATGGAATAATAATAATAAATGCTTCCTATTCATGGAGCACTGAATGGACCACATTCTCAATTACACAGCCTGCCTCACTGCAGTCTTGGAGTCCAAATGTGAGTTCAAGGACATCGGCAGAGTCAACTTGCCATGGCCCACATAACCAGATTGGAGGCAAGTTTGCCCTGCTTGCATCTCCCCAAGGGCTTCCTGGGATTCAGGAAGTCCTGAAAGGTGAGTGCCACCCAGTGCTGGACCTTGGCAGCAGATGGCTCACAGCCTACCCTGCCTTCTAGGAACTTCCCTGGGACAGGGAAGCAGCCTTGCTGGAGGTAAGTCTGCTCTAAGAGTGTCCTCCATTCAATGCCCCATTGATGCAGGCATTTGAAGCCTCTGCTTCAGGAATCCCACATCTGAAGGATATCCCACCTCCAAGTTCTTCAAGGGTTTAGTCAACAGTTAATACCAACTGTCTCAAAAGTCAGCAATCCTCTGCACCCAATCGGCTTCTCATTCCCTCCAGGGCAATCAGGATCCAGGATGCAGGATCTTAGGAGTCAGCTCCCATTGACTCTTGTGGCGCATATGGTCCTCTCAGATTCCTGAGAGGAGTAGGTACTCACCTTGACTAAGCTCTACCCTCAGCTGGGCATTCCTTGGACAGCTCAACAGAACACTTTTCCTTTAACCACTGGAACCCAGTGAGGCATGGTTCCTTCCCTTTTATGGAGATGCCTTTGTTACACTGAGAACTTAACTGAGTCTGCAAGATGTGAAGAGTAAGAGAGCAAGGACTTACTGAGCCATCATTCCACGATGGGCCAGATCAGGGCAATCACTCCAGATTCCAGGTCATCACCAGGGGATTTGGAGGTGACTTGTCCTAGGTAGTGCAGACTCAGTGCCTTTGAACTACTGGGATGGTAGACCATGGGGGAAGGGCTGAGGTATTTTGCTTCTTTCTTTTGTTCCTGATGAATATCAACCAGAGAACCCACTTTGCTTGTTTTTATTTACTTGTTGTTAATGTCCTTACTCCAAAACTGCATCTGTCTCCATCTTTCCTTGGATCAGCAGGAAGAGGCAATTTCAAAGTCCAATTCAGGGAGAGGAATAATTACACCTGTACATTTATTATTATTGTTGTTGTCATTTTCAGCATGTTATATGCCTATCACTTGAGTGGGTAGTTGTCCCAGGACAATTTTGGAAGAGAATTTTTATTTTTTTAATATTTTATTTTATATAATTCCTACATCATTTTTCATCTATGCACAATGTATGCATTTTCATTTTGGTTATATTGCCCATACAATTGCACCCCCCCTTATTTTGACTCTAGTCTTCCTCTCCCCACCCCTCCCTCACCACCCGTAGTGTGTCTCTGGTTTATAGTTGCTTGTTGCTTGTTGATTTTGATTTTTACTTTTTATTGATTAGTCTTTTTCCTGGTCCCTTATTCAGGTTTTCTAAATTCCTGCTATGAGTGAGACCATCTGGTATTTTTCTTTTTCTTTCTGACTTATTTTGCTGAGCATGATCCCTTCTAGCTCCATCCATGATACTGCAAACTGTATGTGTTTATCTTTTTTTGATTGCTGAGTAATATTCCATTGTGTATATGTACCACATCTTTTCTTGATCCAGTCATCTATTTTGGGGCATTTGAGTTGTTTTCATAGCTTTAAAAAAAAAAACACAGAAAAATAAGTCATAATATTATTCTTTAGAGATAAGAGACAAAATATATTTTCCCTGAGTGATACAAACATAAACATGACATGTTCTCATTCAGTGTGGCTCTACTTCAGAAACCACAAACCCAAAGAGTAGCTCTTTTTGAAGAATCATCTCTTTCTGGCTTTTTTCCCCCAATTTCTTGTACAATTATTCTGTGAACTCTTTGAGGTCCCTGGGTTTTTCTTCTTGAAAATGTCCCTGGACTTCCTTCCTCTTACCTAGTATGCCTAGCATGCACTGGTTGATCATTTATACTGAAAACGCATAGCACTTTTGATTTTTTGATATCATTTTTCTTAAACTCCAAGAAAATTCTTACCTTGAGTTAGTGTCACTCATTTTGAAGAAAATCCCACAACTCTTCAAATTGGAGCCATGAAATCACTCCCCCCCCCCAAATTCAGTAGCCCCGAAGCTCACTGTCCATGCCTTTATTTCCCTAATTAGATTCTAATTTTATTTCTAAATATTCACCTTTTGCCTCTAGTCCCTTCCTCAACCGGACTCGCTCCATTCCCAGTGTTCAGCTGTGACTCTGAATTCACGAAGGAGTCAAGACACCCAGTGATTCACTCCCTCAACTTCCAAACACTCCACCTGAAATCTTGCCCATAGTCTTCCCATCCTGGTTTTCTCTTCTCTGGGATACTCCTCTCCTGGCTATCAGCCCATGCTTCCCATCACTGTCCTTCATGTCATTCTTTCTGGCCCACTGTGGTCACCATCATGATGTTCTGACACATCTGAGATCAAAGCTACTAGACAGGGGTCAAACATTAGCTGATTGGCTGCTCCCCACCCTGTGGCATAAAAGTTCTAGTGAAGCTGCCAGGTTCTATTCTATTATCAGTGTATCAAAATTATTAGTTGCTGCATCCATGGGAAAAGCAGGATCCAACAATCTTGTATCAGTAAGGAGCTTATTACCAAAAGCTCCCCTCTGGCTGCATTCCTAAACTTGGGCTCTTATCTCTTCCTACCTCACTTTTGGGAAACAGCATGCACACACCCCAACTTTCCTGTGGAAGTGAGTTTATGCTAACCCAATGCCACCGGTGACCCCCTCACCTGCCTCATCAGGTTGCTTTGTGAAATATTTAATCATCACCCATCACATACCCCTTCCTCAGGGAAAAATAGATCTTTACACATAGCTGCAGAAAAGAGGACTACCCTAGCCAAGAAAAAGAAAGAAAGATTGATAACAATGACATCGCAAGACAAATAATATAATCAGTGGTTTAAAAAAATTAAACCTACTTTGTTTTGGAAGATAAACTAATGGAATGAGAGGCCTGACTCAGATATTTGAAGAACAAACTCACTCAAATAAAAATATTCCTAGAGACAGTTCAGAAACTGAAACAAAAAAAGTAAGTTAAGTTTTCTTAAAATCCTAATTCAAGCCTTTACCACCACAAAGAAAAACCATTCTGAAAACTGGACAAGTGCCAGGAGGCTGGGTTATAAATAACAGAGACTAACTTATTTTGAAATGAAAAGGATGGCCCCAGAAGAGCAGAAAATGTGGAGGGCGGATAGAGGGTGGAAAGAAAAACACCCTGAAAATATATTTGAATAGAGCTGAGAGCTGGATAATTGAGCAAGGCTTGGTAAAGAACAGGCCTGTCAGATTAATCTGAGGAGAAGGCGAGTGACTGTGGGCGTGACGCTAATAATAAGATAATGGAGCCCGTCAGATGGAGGCAGCAGCGCTGAGACGTGGAGCCTGCAGGAGAGCAGGGAAGCGCAGCTGGAGTCGCTTTTGCCTCATGATCAACAGACGCAATCCACTCGTATTTATATGAATGACGAAAATGTTGCTTTGTGTTTGTATAAACCATTGTATCTTGAAAACCACAACAGTTAAGGGCACAATTATCAATGGTGTGAGTAGATCAGCTAGTCATCAGAGTCAGGAAGCTTCAGGAAACTCAGTCTAGCGGTGTTGACAGGTTTGCTACTCAGCCCTGCCTCTGTTCACTCCCTTGCAAAATGAGCAGCTGGGCTAAAGTCAGGGAATTTGAGGGAAGATATGTTTTGGGATTGGGTATCGATGTTCTAAGAATACCCTGAAATTGCAGATAGTGGTGTGTGTGGGGGGGGTGGGGAGGTAGGTGATACAGTTTCCTGGGGGGCAAAGTGGTCAGTAGTTTTCATTAGATTCCCAAAGGAAGATGAAACTCAAATAGGACTAATGGCACTAAACCAGATCGTGTCTAAGTGAAACAGGAGCCCCATAGGCCTGACCTGAGCCACTGGGCATGGCCAGCTTTGCTGTTGTCTGACAGCCAATCCCGGTGCCTCAGTGGCTGAAGTTGATGATAGGCCCCCGAGTGAGCCATAGGGCAGATAAGTCTAAGGCACACCAGGCCCCTGAGCTCAGCATGCAGCCTGAAGGCCAGCCCCTACAGCACTGACAACACCAGTGACACAGCAGCCCCCTGACCAGCTGGGGTTCCAACAGCAGCAGCAGCCCACGAGCAGGTCCCCTAAGCTTACTGCCAATGAGACCACCCAATCTGTGTGCACATTGGGTCAGGAAGCACCAGCTCCGTGCACTTATGAATACTCTGCCAGAATTGTAGAAGTTCAAGCTCCTGATGGACCGATTAAGTTTGAGTTCTTACCAGTGCCACTCAAGGTTTTTGAGAGCATTTAGGTTTGTAAATGAACAAGTTTGATCGGAAGGCAGGATCCTGAAGGGGCTATAAGGCAGAGCAGTAGCCAGCTTGGGACGATTCATGAGACGGCTTCAGATTAGATTTGTCAGGACTCCAGGGAGGACCTTCATAGACAGAATTGTCAGGAAGATTCATGAGACAGGAAGACTTCAAATCCTCCACAGACCTTCAAAACCATGGCAGAGAACTGACCATTGTACTTGCCTATAACTCTGCCTCTAAAATCTCCTGTAGCGCTACCGTCAGTCTGCCCCGTGTCTCTGAAAGAGCTGTTTGCGCTTGGCTTATGTCCAGCTCACTAAGAACTGTAACACTGGTGCCTGTACTCTGCTGACCAGCACTGCTGACCTGTGTTCAGCCGCCTCTGAGAGCTGTCCACTTCTTCTGGTCCTCCAGCACTACCTCTGGTTCTGCTGCATCTGGCACTGTCTGTTTTGGTGTTCAGTGCTGTACAGCCCAGCCCTCAGATTGCTGCTGTTGGCTGCTGTGGTGTCCCCAGAGCAGCCCCATCTGTGACCACCTCCAGCTGCCACCATGAGTTGGATCCTGGCCCACCATTTAACTGTGCGGCCCCAGCTCCAGGCTTTTATTGAACAGACAACACCATCTTGCTTGAGCAGCCTTTATTTTAGACTTCTGGACACTGCAGACACTATCTAGAATAGTACAACCGGCCATTTGTGACCTTAGAAATTCTTTCCTTTTTTCCAATCTCCCATTTATTAACAAACCGCGTTGTTGTTGTGCTCTGAGTCTGAGTTGTGTCTTGCAATTATGAGCACACAGATGAGAATCTACAAACAGTGACCTGTCTACCCTCCCCAGCTTAGCATTGTTTTATAAGGAACATTCTAGCTCCTTGACATGAAATGTAACAGAAAACCATGGAAATGGGAGTTTGAAACGCCCTTCTATAACCTAAAAATTGGTTATTTAGATGCAAACCATCCACGGGAGACTAGTCAAATGGAACTCTCATGTACCAGATTATGTTTCACATGAATAAATGTCTTAATTTGTATTTCCCCAAAAGCAGACCTCAGTGTGTGTGTGTGTGTGTGTGTGTGTGTGTGTGTGTGTGTGTGCGCGCGCGCGCAGATGGCTTTGGGGAGGGCATCTCAGGAGTCAGGAGGCATAAAAGAGGCTTGGGAAAGTCACAAGAAAAGTAGTGATGGTCCTGGTGCTGGGGTTCCACCTGTCTGGGGGCACTAGGGATCTTGTGGAACATATCAATTATCCCAACAA